TTTTAGGGTAGAGAAAATGATAGTTTAGCCCATCCAAGTGCTCATAGCAGAACTAGAAAGCAGAAGAGCTTCTAGGCGGAAGCTCGCCACTGCCAGTGGGGGAGGACAGACAGACAGACAGACAGACAGATGGGAGGGGAGGGAAGGGGAGGGGAGAAGCTGGGCCTGAGGGGGAGCGGGTGAATTGCTGCTCTAGTGCACAGCCCGGTGCACAGGCGCAGCCCCAGATGGTGACATCAGCCCACAGCTGTGCGCGGACCTTTGCCCTGTTTACCGGCCGCTGCTGTGCGGTGTGGAGAACAGCTGGGCTGAGTGATCACTCACACAAAGGGCTTTATTTCTAATTCATTGGCCTGGGCTCCTGGGGAAACATTTATTTGGCATAAAGGCTCGAGAAAGACCTTTTTAAAGGAGACACGCACTGGAAGTTCTCAGGGCACTCCCAGTGTCCCTGTCACCCCAGGTGGTAGGCATGGCCTTGTCCTTGCACTTCCTACAGTTAAGGAGAGATTTCTCATGTCCCCCCGCCTGCCGACTCCCATTCTCAGTCCTGCCCCTTCCTGGCTGCTTCTCCAGTCCCACTCGCTTCCAGCCAACTAGTCAGACACCCAGCAACGCCCCAATCAAACACGCAATGTTTCAGAATTCAGACTAATAAGCCAGGAGTCTTGCCACACTGTTAGGCAATACTCATCTAGGAGTTATTGGATAAATACAAAATCCACACAGTAACAAAGTAGTCCTTTGTCCTCATTTTTAAAACATCATTCCATGAGGTGATTTTTCAAGGCAAGTCTGACTAAAGGCCCCGAAAGCCCACTGCCTGCAGAAGAGTGGAAGGATGATGACTTTCGTGCACAGACTGGAAAAGCCATCACCAGCAATCTGCCTTGAAATGAGGAATACAGTTTTCAATAAGAAAAACAGACACCCCCTCATTTACAAGATTAGCCCTAAAACATGAACAGTGTTGCCGATTAGAAGTCAACATTTCACCCTGGGAGAAACCGGGCCTGAGAATTCTAGGCCAACAACAAAAACAGGGAAAAAGTGGGGACATCCCTGACAGTTTAAAACATCGATAACCGAGCAAGGAGCAGATATTTCAGAAGAAGTGGTGAAATGCTTGATACTTATCCTTTTCCACTAACTCTTTGGATGTCATCTAGAAAATGCCCAATGTCAGAGTCAGTTATAATCTCTGGGAAATAGAACTGGACGTATCCCAGGTCCTTTAGCAGTCATCCCCAAGGAGAGGAGATGGAGCCATACTTAGTCCTGGCGGCTTTCCTAAGAGGGGGAGGTCCGATTTTTATTATTTTCATTTTGAAGAGGCTAATTTCCCTTTGGTAACTGATAAATGTGCTACGTGCAGAGAAAACCATGGTCCTAAATTTTAATATTCTTTTGAAATAATACTGAAATTTCTTAATTTTTATGTCTCCATAGCATGCTTCATCATGAGATAACCACAAATATTTTAATTCTCAAGAATGCAAATACATGTCTTAATAGAAAAGAGGTAGAATTCTTAGGTTCACATCTCAGCCACACCATTTACCTGCTATGTGATATGAGAAACTTACTTACGCTTTCTAAGTCTGCATTTCCTCATTTTAAATGGAGATAAAATGTTAGTGCCTTCCCTGCAGAATTAAATAAGATAATACATGTGAAGCGCTGGGCCTAGTGCCTAACCAGAATATGTATGTAACAGATGTTATTAACTGGAGGCCCAGCGCGCAAAATCAGACGTATGTAACAGATGTTCTCATTAATAGCCTTGCAAAAGGCCACCAATCCACATGTGTTTGGAGAGCCCTCAAAGACATGCATGGATTTCCATGGCAGAATCTGACAGTTAAAAAGAAGCACTGCTTGTCTAGCACTCAAAGAAGATAGATACACTCACACACACATCCATCAAATCTTCCCTTTCTGCCACTCTTGTTCTTGGCATTCTATGCAATAGAATGTTCCCAACTTTTAGGTGATTTTTTTTTATCTACATTGGCCATAAAATATAAAAGAAAAAAGAAAATTGGGGAGGTCACAGGGAAGAGCCTGCAAATGTTTGTGATGCCATATAAGAGATTGTGAAAGAAAAGAAAAGACCAACTAGAAAATAAGATGACTTCACTCCCCAACTGTATGCACATGCTTTTTCTAGATGCTTCCAGCAGGCCTGCTGTGGATACCCGTGCTTCTCTGCACCATCTACGAGGGAAATGAGATGCCGGTCTCCGGCTCTGCTTGCCCGCTTTGGGCCTCTTTCTCAATCTCTCTCTGGCCACCTAGGATATCAGACACCTGCTTTTAGTTCTGGCCACCTTTGCTATTTTCTTCAATAGTATACTCTTCTTCAGATAAACATAGTTGGTTTTTTTTAACTTTTAATTGTAGAATAATTTCAGATTTGTAGAAAAGGTACAAAGAGAGTAGAGAGAGTTCCTAGCGTCCCCAAGTATTAACATCTTGCGTAACCGTTATCTTACTTCCCCTGTCCCCCTGATCTAGCAGTACGAATGGGGACTCGACCTACTACCATAGGAGCGTGACTATTTCATAATATTATTCTATGAAGGGAAATCCAGTCATGACGTACTTCCAGGGCAAGTGATTATGTTGGTTCCACTCTTAAAAGGAAGTTTAATCTGTTTAAAATTGGAGACAGTAATATAACTGAACAAAGTAACCAAGAAGCCATTTTTTAAAAGTAAATTGTTATTTTGTGGAGAGGCAGTAGCCTACAGAAGAACAACAAAGGGGTAGGGACCCAGACTATCCTACAACAGTCATTCCCAACTTTCTTCATATCAATTTCCTGATACACAGGGTAGGCATAAATATCACCTGCTCAGAGCTTATAGTTTGGTTGAAGATAAAGTGAAATAGACGCCATTGTATTTTATAGAGTGAGCCTTCACAAACTGTCTGTGGAACAATCATTTACTCCGAAGAGCCCCACATTGCACTTTCCAAGAGGTACTACTTTTCTATGTGACCTAGAAATTTGCAGGCCTGTGGCAGAGAAAGGTTTTTACTAAATTTCAAAACTAGTTACAAATGGCTTCCTGAGTGCCCTAGGGAATTATATGAATTGACACAAAGTGATTTCAAAGCCTTCCATTAATCATAACTTATCAGAAATGTACTTTCACAAAAAGCCTGCACTACCAAATCAATTCTCCCATAAATAATACAGCCTAACCTTTTAAAACTCAGCCCATACTTTACAAAGTACCCTCACACTTATTATTATAGGTACTATAATAACTAACAGAGCTAAAAGAAAAAAACAAATAGTAATAGGATAACAGTTGGGGACTTTAATACCCCACTCCCAGCAACGGAAGGTCATCGAGACAGAGAATCAACAAGACAGCAGATTTAAACAGCACTACAGACCAAATGGACCTAACGGACATAGACAGAACACTCTATCAACAGCAGCAGAACACACATTCCTGAGGACACACGGAAGATTTCTAGGCTAGACCATATGTCAGGTCAAAAAACTATTCATAGTAAATTCAAGAAGAATGAAATCAGACCAAGTATCTTCTCTGACCACAATGGCATGAAACTGGAAATTAACAACAAGAGGGAAACTGGAAAACTCATGAACACAAGGAAATTAACACTCTCCTGAACAACCAATGGGTCAAAAGAGAAATTAAAGGGGAAGTGAGAAAGTTTCTTGAGACCAATGAAAATGGAAATACAACAGGCCAGAACTTATGGGACGCAGCAAAACATTTCTAAGAGGGAAGTTCACAGCAATACAGACGCAAATACAAACTCGACTTCTATGCCTTAAGGAACTAGAAAAAGAACAAACTGAGCCCAAAGTTAGAGAAGAAAGGATATATGTTGAGTTAATACAATTGGTATTATATAAAATCTTATTTCACTAGAGATGGAACTGAAGAGTCTGGATGGGGTCTACAGCTCAATCCACTCAGCCTTTTCCAATGCAGGTTCTACACCACAGAGCTGGAACCTTATCTGAGTGGCTCCTTGCCCAGCCTGAGATGAGGAAGAGAAAAGAGAGTTCCTACATACAATGGACGCTTCAGGGTATTAGGGC